ACACGCACACACACACACACACACACACACACACACACACACACACACACACACACACACACACACAATATTGCCTAGTGATTTTTCAAATCAGAATTTTCTTTCTTTATACATACTTACTTCAAAGTTTGTGTTGTGTTTGATGTCTCAGCTTTCATCACTGGAGATGTTCCCATTGATAATCCTTTGTTTTTCTGAGTTTTCTGCACCCAAGGCTTCAGTGTTCCAACTATTTTTTGTTTCCTCCTACTATGGACACCATTTTTCCGACTCTTTTTCAAAGGAACAGCAAACGGTGGTTTTTTATTTTCGTCAGTATGTGACGATGATGGATTGTCAAACATTCGTGTTTGTTTCAATTTCTTTCTAGGAGAAATAGAACCCTTTTGTGCAGACTCTAAATCATCACTGGATGATTGCAGCTTTTTCTGTGAATCCTTTTTAGGTGATCGAAACTTCCCATTTTCCTCCAAACTTTTATGATCTGGGGAAATTCCCGGTTCTTGTTTTATTTTTATGGGTCCTTCTCCCAAATCTATCTTCCCCATTTTTTTGTACAGCTTATTCATTGCACTCTTATTAGGCTTCACTGTGCTAGCCCATACTACTTTAATTTCATCTCCACTATTGTTACTTTCTTCTTCACTACTAACTTCATATACTGATAGTTCACTGTTAACATCTAAATCCCCTACTTCATCATCACTTTCAGAATAATCTTGGTTGGATTGAACAGGAGCAGGCTTTTTAGAGACAAAATACTTCTGAATATTCTGCTGACCCAACTGTTTTCCCATATCAACAAATGCACTTTTTAGTTTTCTCTGCTCATTTTTTGACATTTTAGATATCTGGCTTGCGAAAACTGGTGGGTCACCACAAAATATATCGTCAAATTTCACAAACTGAATGTTATACTGCTGTAACACCGAACCCTGAAAGTATAAAATCATAACATTAACCCTGCTTTTATTTGTTTTTAAAACTTTTATATGTAACTACAGCATACTTCATTAAGCATTTCATTAATTCTGATTAGATAATGAAAGGATTCCCCTCTCCTAAACAATTTTACAAATAAACCGTTGTGAGTGGCAACTGAATAAAGATGATGTGTTTATATGGTCAGAAAAGTGAAGTACCTACCTTCCGTTGGAAAATATATAGAAATCTGGTAAAGCATTTACAATAGAAAATATCAGGAGTTTCAAATAGTGGATCAGGCTAGTACTGATTACAATACACAGTAATTATTATTACAACATTACACAAGTATAGAAAGAATCCAATTATTTATACTATTCCACTCATGAAATTATCATCATCAGTATTGAACAATACACCAGCAATTCTCCAAGAAAAGCTAGTACATCTTAGCAGTAAAAATTATTGCTTTTTCAACCTATTTTTCTGGCCACTTATCTCTACTAGCCAATCATCAGCTGCAATATGTTAGTTACAGAGAGTGGTGTGTATGTGATGACTTCTAGCACGTCTCATTAATATTATTAATATTTACATCACTCTAAAATTCTTCTGGAGGTAATTTCATTCATGGAATTCTTATTATATACTACTCATGTATTCGAAATTTCTGGATAAAGTTCCAATGAATTCATAATATTACCTATGACAATTTACAGTATCATACAAAGATTAACATGGATTAGTGGATGACAAATCGGGTACGCCTGAAGGACTATTCCTCCATATGCCTTAAGCACAAATATTAAACAGATTTGCTTTTAAAACCTCCTATGTCTGGAAAATAGTTAATAAAATAGAAAATGTGAAACATACCTTTATAACCCAAATTCCACGGGCATCCAATACAGCATTTTGCTTCAAAAATGCAGATAATGTGTCTTTAGTCAGGCAGCTGTCATCAGGGCGCTTCAATTTTGAACCAGTTAACTTTGTTTCAAATCCTTTGCCATCAACATTAGCAAATAATTCATATTCATACCAGCCAGGTGGTGTATAATGTTGAAGCTTCTTTAGAGACCTATTATGAAGCAATAAATGTGCGATAAGGACTTTTTGCTTGAAAAAATGACTATTACAAAACTTTGCAAAACATTGTAAATCATTCTATACAGAATTGTCAGTGGCTTTCCCATTCATTTTAGGGACATTATGGACGTTTTTAATACAAAAAGAAAAGACCTAATAGGGGTTCAAGATCAAAAAATCCTGTCCAAATAATCCTGCAAGTGTAATGCCTTTTTTCCCCTGTAGAGGTGGTGATCTTCCAATGCAGGATGGTAAGATCCGAAACAAAAGTATCTGTCGGCTACCAAGGTTTTCACCAACCAGCGGAGTAATGCCCCATTGGGGACAAGCTCTTAGCTCTGACACATGGTTGTAAAGTGCATGAAAGAGTAAGTGGCAGTGAGAGTGCATGTAAGTGTGTAAGCAAGGGACAAGGAAGCAAAAGGAAAGATCGCACACAGTCCATGGCCCATTTGTTAGGGTAGTGCTCCAGCATTTGCCTGGTGTTGATGGGAGAACCAACTGACTGAACTAGAGGTCGTCAGAAAACTACTGATCAGAACCGCTAGCTACTAGAATTCTCATTAAGACTGATGAACACAACATGGCAATCTAGCAAATGGCGAAAATTCTGGAACCATAAGAATTCAACTTATGTCAGAGGGACCACAATGATATAAATTGATATCCTAAGCCATCTCTCCCGATGAGAGGTAAAATAAAAAATGTGGACTAAAAATTAGACCATGTAACATCCCTGTCTTTACATAACAATTATCAACTTAAGAATGAAAATAACATTTAAATACCATACAATGGTGAAACACCTATTAATGCTCATTCCTCTTGACCATCCAAAACTTTGAGGAGCTAAATTTAATACTATAATACTGATATATTGTCCCTATTTTCAGATACTGCTCGCTGAACGGTAGAAGATAATGCTTGATGCTTGAATGTACAGGGTACGCCAGAGAAACTTACTTATTTGAAAAAATTCCCGCGCGGTGAGTTGGGTGGTTAGAGGGGCGAGAG